CAGGCAACACTACAAGCCAACGAGCTTTCTCCGCCTGTAAACTGGACATTGGACCTGACCTTAACTTTAAGTCAGTAGATTTCAAGGTCAAGTAAGTGGTATTGTAAAGCGAATATATTCGGATTCGTCGGTACGGTTGGACATACCGCTTGTTGTACGTGCTCGTCGGTAGGTGTCGGTAATCGTTGGTTAACTTGCATCAATTTTCCGATTGTTCACTCATATTTACAACGGTTGTCGATTGCGTTCATCAATTTTACTCTATTATTTCAGCCCTACCAAAAATGGCTTTATGGAACGAAAAAAAGGAGAAGATCGTGGAAGTTCATGAAATTTCCGTCCCAAATATTGGTCAAGTCCCAGTAGTGAAGGGCAATTTCTCTGAATTGCCAAAATGTGCTCAAGACTTTATTAGTCACTGGGTAAGTGAAAGATCTCATATATGAGATCTTTCCACATATGCTTCTCATATGTATGAGAAACATGTGCACATGTTTCTCTCATTGCTAACAAGATGGCTTGTTCCAACGTGCTTAAGTGTGACATAAAATTGCAATTTAATGTCACACTTCTAGAAGTGTAGTGAATGTAGCTGACAATTTACGAACGAGGTATCTATATTTGTATTCATATATATAGCAAGTAACTATCTACTTGCGATACTCAAGCTATCCCAGTTGCCAGGAGTGTACTTTTCTGTCATGTGACATCTTCATTGAGCGTGCTAAGAATGAAGAAACCAAGAACGGATGTATTCTCACCTCATCGGTGAGAGGCGTGAAGTTGACTGCTAGTTTCGCAATTCTTCCGGTGTGCAGAGCACATGCATCAGGGCATTAAGTTTGAGAACCGTTGCAATAGTCAAATCCAAATTCAATTTATTTAAAATTTTTAGCCTACAGTGGATCCCATTCACAGTTTTCTTCCTCGAAATACCTCCGGAACGTAGCCAACTAACGTGTTTCCAGTGCAATCTTCAATGTATTAACATTAATGCAGTTTAACACTTCTGTGGGTAACCTGTTCCACATAAATATGACCCTGCGTCAGAAGGGCAGGGAGAGAGCAGATTATTATCTTTCAACTGCTGCAACTAACTTTGCAGAATGCTTGAAAAAGGTATGCATGAACACTTAGATTGTGTACTCTGTGTGTTGAACATAGAGGTTATTTTCTGTGCCTCCCTCGAAGTAGGCCCAGTCCCTCTCCATCTTTTGCTTTATCGTTTGATTTGTGTACATTGTGAGCTTGGCAGCGATCAGTGAAGCTCGCTTCACTGTATCTCGCTGTACGATGGTGATGATGACATAACTTTGCCGCTTTTCCTCTGTAACCATTCGATTAGCTGCGCGTTGGGCTCTTCATAAACATGTTGCATCCTTCGGTGCCCATGCCTGCATATAGTATTCTGTGTGAGCGAACAATCGAATTGTATGGTGGGATAAATACTGCTGGCCGTCTGCATGTTATTGTATCCGTCGATCGCAACAGCTGTCTCGTAGATTGATTGATAGCCTTTGAGCACTGGGTGGTGGGCTGAAAGTTTTGGATCATAAAGACCCCTAAGTCCTTCTTTTGTGAGAGCGACTTCATTGGTGTTCCATTTATGGTGATGCCCTGTTCATCGAGCTCACTGGAAACCCATAAGAAGACAACGCAAGTATTCGCTTCAGCTAGGAGCATAATGGAAAACTGGAGAAATATCTTGGGCAATTAATACAGAACTCCACCAGGTTACTTTACATCTTCGATGTATGACCAAAGTTTGACTATGGCATCTGCTAGCTTAGCTATTTTGTGGCGTGCACAGTGTGTCAGTAGACTATTTGGGACCAGGTCACCTGTAGGCCACTTTTTGTTTTGTGCAAATGTGTGTACGCAGGAAGCTGAAATGCGTGCGGTAGATCCCAGGGGTGACATAGGCCCACAATTTCAGCTATAGATTTCTTTACGCACGCTCAAATCCATGCAGGTTTTTCGTCGCCGAGGCTTCAGTCACGCGGCGTTCCGTTTGAAGAGTGATAAGCCCCCGAAACTCGCTTCGCGTAGCACCGATGGAGGTTACTGATACTGCAATCAGGCGGTGTTTGGAAGAATTTATTCGGAGCTAAGAACACATGACCGACCATGCGACAGAACGACGGAAATCTTACCGTCTGCTTTCAAGGCTGATACAGATACATTTGTTTTTAATAGGTATGCTTAACGACAGCGAATGCATGTGCATCTACATGATATACTTACAAGTAGAGAAATCTGTAGATTTGCAAGCTGATTGTATTTAAGCAGGTAGATTAACATCGCAAGTACCATTATTTAGCTTCGACGCTCTAGTGCACAAAACTACCCGACCAACTATTCAAGGTGATATCCAAGCTTTTTGACTAAGCAGTTCTATATCACACACGTGCAATATCAGTGATAATTCTTAGAACAGTTTGAGTGGGATTTATTTAAACTGCAGTTATACTTATTTGAGTACTTCATTTTCACTGCTTTTTCTATAACCATGGATCACTGTACCACTTTGCTCTCCTTGAGAAACGTTTGACATTATTGCTTTATTGCCACTGGATTCTAGGTGGAAGTATGCCGGCCAGATGCACTGCACATATGTGATGGAAGTAAAGAGGAAGCAGATAAGATGATCAAACAGCTATGCGAAGCGGGTGTCTTAAGGAAGCTCTCAAAATATAAAGATAATTACGTGTGTCGAACGGATCCAAAAGACGTTGCTCGTGTGGAGTCAAAAACATTCATATGTACCCCGAATAAACATGATGTCGTCCCTCATATCCCTGAAGGTGTGAAGGGTGTTCTTGGACAATGGATTTCACCGGATGACTTGAATCATGCACTGAAAGAGCGTTTGCCTAGCTGTATGAAAGGCCGGACTATGTATGTAATGCCGTTCAGCATGGGACCAGTGGGGTCTCCCCTGGGCAAAGTGGGGATCGAAATAACAGACAGCATGTACGTTGTACTTTGCATGCGAATCATGACGCGGATATGCCCCAAAGTTTGGGACATAATACAAAGTGAATCCAATTTCGTCCGATGCGTCCACAGTGTGGGTTTTCCTCTTCCAAATGAACGTAAGTCTGGTCTTTGAAGAAAATTATTTGACCCAAATTAAACGTTTAATTAAAACTTATCTTCATATGAAAAGGTACAATTGTGAACAATTGGCCATGCAATCCGGAACAGACTATCATATCCCATATACCGGAGAAGAAGATGATTATTAGCTATGGAAGTGGTTATGGTGGAAACTCGCTATTAGGAAAGAAATGTTTTGCGCTGCGTATTGCCGGAACGATTGCGCACGAGGAAGGCTGGTTGGCTGAACACATGCTGATCATGTCCGTGACAAACCCTCAAGGTGAAGAGAAGTTCATTGCTGCCGCTTTTCCAAGTGCTTGTGGGAAAACCAACATGGCCATGCTTCAACCAAGTCTGCCGGGGTGGAAAATTCAATGTGTTGGAGATGACATAGCATGGATGCGATTCGACAAAGACGTAAGTTTGAATTGATGTTGCACTTGACCCATTTTATATTCTATTTAAGTAATCGAGAATAATAATTAATGCAATTTTCTACGTTCTTTAAATTTCAGGGTGTATTGAGGGCCATTAACCCTGAGTATGGGTTTTTCGGTGTCGCACCTGGGACAAATCGCAAAACTAATCCAAATGCGGTTGCCACTTGTCTTTCTAACACAATTTTCACAAATATCGCCGAGTCAGTGGACGGACGCTTCTTCTGGGAAGGTTTGGAAGATGATTTTGATCCGGAAACCGAAGTTATTACTTGGTTGGGACACCATGTCAAGATAAGTGACAAATCTCACGACCCAAAGGCCCACGCAAATTCTCGGTTCTGTTGTCCAGCTAGCCAATGCCCAATTATACACCCCAAGTGGGAGGATCCAGAAGGTGTTCCTATCTCCGCCATTATTTTTGGCGGCCGGCGACCGGAAGGCATTCCACTTGTCATACAGTCTTTTGATTGGAAACATGGTGTTATGCTTGGTGCTGCCGTTAAATCAGAAGCAACTGCTGCAGCTGAGTTCACTGGTAAGTTCCAATATTAATTCGGCACTAACAAATTACTTGATTATAACTGCGAACTTACCTCAATGTTTCCCTTACTTTGTAGGAAAGGTGGTCATGCATGACCCGATGGCCATGCGACCGTTTGTTGGCTACAACTTTGGGAAATATCTGGAACACTGGCTAGGGATGGAGAAGGCCGGGAGGAAATTGCCTCTAATTTTCCACGTTAACTGGTTCCGTTTGAACGACCATGGAAAGTTTGTTTGGCCCGGATTTGGTGACAATGTACGTGTAGTAGACTGGATGCTGCGTCGGGTTAATGGCGAAGATTCGGGCGAGCCAAGCCCAATCGGTATCATCCCGAAAAAAGGTGAGTTGCGTCGTGATCTCACGACTCAACTGATTTCCAAGGGACGTCTGTGTGCGTTGTAAATTAGAACGTTCTGGTGGTTTTATCTATACTATAACAGATATGCTTCTCTAACTTTTAGGTTCGCTCAATTTAAGTGGATTGGACGTGAATTGGGACGATATGTTCTCTCTACCAAAACCTTACTTACTGGAAGACGTAGATGAGACAATGCGTTACTTTGATGAACAGGTTGGAACTGACCTACCAGACGTCATTCGTAAAGAGTTGGTGAACCAGCGTGAAAGAATACAGAAACAACTGTAATTTTCGCAAATTTATCTGTAAGTACCTTGAAAACTGACATGTTCCGTTTACATTTGATGAAGCTTTAACCAAGCACTTGGTCTCAGCATGTTTCTCTGTTTTTTTCCAGACATGTTCAGCTGCAGCTACTTGACGGCAGGGATGTCAAATGGTAATTTCACTCATCCTGTTGGCATTTAGTTTAACTTATGCAAGATGAGGTTCATTCTGCGTGTTTTTGTTGTTGCTTTAGTCAGTTTGTAGACCTTTCCAACAAATAAAACTTATCTGTATTAACACGACTTTTATATGCTCACTTGTAGCCCAGAACATTTCTGGACGGCAAAGTGTAAAGAAAATAACAGAAAGCAAATAGCCGCAAGATTAAAAAGTAGGAACCAGCTTTAGGTTTGTGCAACTAAGAGATTACTGAGTTTTTATACAAATTGCTTCTCCAAGTGATTATGCGAAACTGAGAAAGGGAACTTAAATGAGATCGGCGATCAGAAGGATCAGTATGCAAAGGACTTGTGTGGTCTTCAAAAATTTTTATACCACGCATCTCTCAAACACCGACGTTCACGATGAACTGTTGCGTTCGCGGATACATGGCTGATACTTTCAAAACGTTCATGCACTCTTGAAATTCTGTTTAAGTTAACCACTAAAATAATGCGCAAGATTAAAAAAGAAGAAATAACAGGTTGCCTAACATGACATTGTCCAAGTTTCATCGTCTAAAGGACAGATGTCGTACAGTACAACACTCAATTTGGGAGGTTTAATGGAGAACATCTTTCGGCGTACCATCAAGATATTTAATGTAACTCAAGCGGAACACAGAACTGAAATTTAATACACAATCCGATCGCAGGGAAACTCGGGGATTGGTAGAGATAAAGTGCGTTCAAAAAATTTGAAAGAGGTCTGATTAAAATGTGTAAGGTGTCAAGGTGTGTCAAGTGGCATTTTGGTCTAGAGCAACGTTGTCAGAAAGCCTGAGCAAACAGATTGCAGAGTTTGAAGGAAGATAAGTTTTGAAAAGGATCACATTTCGGGACCCGTGGGAACTCAAACAACCTTCCTGTAACATTGGTGCATTGCTCACGTCGGTAAAGCAGCTCATTAGCCACAAGCAGAATCGGGAAACAATCTGATACCAAGCTTTCTGAGAAGAATTATGAAGGCGTGCAGTCCCGTGTTGTAGAATAATCAAGGAACAATCACCTTACAGACTCGCTAGTAATTTAAAGGTGTAGAAGTACAATTAATCAGGCAACACATTGCGTCTTGTGTAGGTCTGTTTAATTTGTCAGCAAACTGGGCGGGGTTCAGTGGGGTATGGACGGAGGACTGAACATGAGAGAAAGATAGAGGGTGTATAAAGATCAGAAATTCAGAGAAACTTACAACCACGAGAAAAAATGTTTACAAAGTGTGGCAAAACAGTTTTAGATGATCAACAGTAGGAGAGAGAACAGGAGAATATGGATTTGTTTGATGTCACAGCAACTGAAGCGCAGGCACCACATTTGATCACTTGCAATCGGTACACACTGCATAAGTATTTCGGTGCAGGTGAGAATCCAAGATGGATGTCATCTTCATTAACATAGCAAAAAATTATCTTATAATAGCATTGCCCACCGCAGGAACAGCTACTTTGCAGGTGTGCGCTCACGTTTCCAGATTTGATGGGATATCATATTGCATCGAGCAGAGGATTTGTTTTGGTTTCTCTTGTCCACATAAACCATCATTACACATTGCAAGAAGAATACATATCAGAGAACAAGTTCGTTTGAGGTGATTCATCTACAGACTTATACATCTTAAGTGATATTAAAAATGTTTGTAGAGCGGAAAAATCATGAAGAAATGAGCGGAGAAATCATCAATATTCCAGCTCCATGACCAGATGTTATTCACACTTTGATCATAACACATACACCTTGGTTCGGGTCATATGGGGCGACTGGAGAGTGACTGCGTCGTGTGTGTTGTGTGGGGAGTATGTAGGGGGGATGTCAATCGCCTCCGCCGTGGCCATAATATGATTCCTAATTCCCTTGGATCGATGGATGCGAACTAAGCAGTTGGGTCGAAACGCCTCGGCCACACCAATCATGTGGTTTGCTCGACTAGGGGTGAAACGACCGAACTGTTGGTAGTCCTAATCACTCCATTATTCAGCAGGTTCTGATAAGCGTCTGCTCTGACGAGAGCAAAATCCTTTTGTATAAAGACGGCAAGTAAACCAGTGGTATTAATCCCGATGCAACGGTTAGCAAGAGGGATTACTGTAGCGCAGCCAGTCAGGGTGATACCAAAGATTTTCATGTTGATAGTAAGAATGCTTAAAGTGAGGTAGAATATATTGTGATTCCTTAAAAAACATTGAGTGCATTCAATGCGCTTGTTCGAATTGACTGGAATGGAATCAAAATCAACTGAAAAGCTTTTCAGATCGGGGAGGTCAAATTCAAAGATAGTTACTTCCAATTCTGAAAAATGGCTTAAACGGACATTAAATTGTAAACCGATGTTCAAAATGAACAGACGAATTTCGGTTATAAGCAAGGAATAAACTGAAAGAATGAACTGCTTCCCATATTCCTTCAGTTTTTCTCACTGACGTTGCTATCCACTCAACAAAAAGTATTCACTGCTGACGATTTCCAATACAGACGAAACAGCTGCCCAGTGGCGTTTGTCGGTCAACGTAAACATCATCATTGAATTTAACTGGGGAATTAACGATCTGCGAAGGAGTGAAACCCACATCCAAGATTATCAGCAGTGCATGATACCTGTGAAAAACCGAATGGGTTAATCTAAACATTCGCCGTCTAAGTAAATAGGCTTGCTTTTGATAATTTCATTCCCTGGTTAATAAAAATATATAACAATGAAAAATGCACATCAAATTTTTGTAATGCTTTAGATATGCATGTATTTGATTGATAGGTGATGTTAGTATATTGCATTTCGTTTGTAACCAAGTATAAATGTTGGGTGGAGGAGAATAGAGATGAAACACACGAGTGTCAAGATAGGTTAGAAGGTAACTGCTTCCAGTTTAAGTTGCGGGTTTATGGTAGGAGCTATCTCCAGTTGCAGGACTGAACTGACACCGGCACCAAGGCAGTTAAAGCTCCTTCATAAATCACCTCTCGGAACAAAGCGGATGGCCTTTGCCTCGGATGTTGCTGAATGTCGTTGACCAGCAGTTTTTGATGGATTAGAAGACACCTGATCGATCACCTTAAAGCTAGATTTATTCACTCAATGACTTTTATCTGCGAGATATCCTATAATGACAGTGGAGGTGGTTTTCCTCGCATCGTTAACCGACAAAACTAGCTCCTGTTTTTTTAATCTTCTGTGAAACTTACCTGATAGTTCTATCTCGCTTGCCGAAGGTGAGAATGAAGTTCTCGCCATCTCACATTTTCTCAAATCTCCTCAATTGATAAATATGTATCGTTTCAACAGACAGGAGGCATCTAAAAGCACCATTGTGACTGTTGACAAGGAATCCAGTTCAGTGCCTTTTTCCAATGATTTATTGTTTAAGTTTCTTCGATCCTGCAAAGCACCTTCAGATGCAGGCCCTGATGGTCCTCCTCCGGCAATTCTAAAATTTAGAACAACTTCCATAACCAATATGATGACATCCGTCGTCAATGGACCCCTATATTCCGGGTCGATTCTTGGTGTCCAATGACCATTATTGCGATCCCCGAATCCACGTCCTCGACTGTTCTTGCGAAACGGTTTCGTCCTATCGCGCTGACCTCAGTGGCTCTAAAGTTGACTGAAAAAGTCATTCTGGGTCGGTTACAGTCAGTCACCACAATTCCTCACGAGCCCTTAAGTTTGCATATAAACCAAACAGATGTACATTGGACGCCGCATCCAATCTACTGCATTTTATCAGTCATTGAACCATTCAGCCAAGTCTCTCTGTGGTGCTTTTCTTGATTATTCGTTTGCGTTTGACTGTTTCCCGAGCATCCCTTCTTTTCAAATGTGAATCTTTTGGCACTCCAAAACAACTGCTCTCATGGGTTGCTGAATATTTCACAGAGAGGGTCCAGTGCATCAAATTAGGAAGGAGGATATCAAAACCTCTGATAACTATGGTATTCTTCAAGATGCTGCTCTATCTCCTTATCTTTTTCCTGCATTTATTAGTGATCTTTCGATCCCACCCTCTGCGCACATCCAGAAGTATGCTGATGACATTGTTTTGTGTCAGACGGCTTCATCTCGTTCGGAATTTCATTCTTTTGCTGAAAACATCCCACATTCAACAGTTTTCCTACCAATCTGGTCTCAGTCTTGACATACCTAAGTGCGTAGAGTGTGTTTTCAGTCTTTCCCGCTCCTCATTTCCAACGGACTCCGCCACCCTAAACAGTAAATCTGTATTCAGAATGACCTCAATCAAGTACCTGGGTGTCACCATTCACAGCAATCTTCATTGGTCTACACATATTTACAACTGTATGGGAAAACTAAGACGCCTATCTTTTCAGTTACGCAAACTCAGGCAATTCCGACCCCCACAATCAGTCCTGTCATCTTTCGTTCATCAATGTGTTCTACCCATTCGACTCTATTGCTCCCCTGTATTGTTTCCCGGTCTTTCAAAACAAGACTCCAAAACAATTCGCCGTGGTTTGATGATCATCAGTCGTACATCAGTAATTCAGATTGATTCATTAATCACAGAACTCATTGATGGTCACATCAACGCTTATTTTAAATTTTCTCATAAGATTCTAGATGACCCTCTTCATCCACTACATCCTGATCTATCGTCTTGTCGTTCCAATTCGTCCACACACTCCTCATTTCGGCATGTACGCTCTCGCATTAACGTTTATAAAAATTCCCTTGTATCTTACCTGACCCGACTCTACAAAAAAGGAACAGGTCTCAAATGAACTACGTCCAAAGTCTTGCACATGCAACAAATGTCACCGACATTCTCTAACTTTCGTTATTATTATTAT